TCTACCCCCTCGGGAATCTCAAAATCTTCCATTACAGATTCAATGGAAAACTTAATACGACGAACAGATAAAATTGCATTTCTTTCTTCCTTAGTAAAAATATTGTCCGACCCAGAGGTGGATGTCTCAGCCTAGATTGGGGAAACATCCTGCTGATTAATTGAGCCATTTGTAGACTTAAGGAAGTTCGAAACCCTATGAGGAGGAACCCTAATGAGATTAAGGGAAGAAGAGGGCGTGGACTCAGAATCCATGATTAATTTCTATATGTTCAGGAGTAATCGAAGTACTCATAATGCAAGATTGGAAGAAGGAAAAGAAGAACTAACCTGGAGATATGAGAATGTGAAGAACGCGAGGGACGAAACGAGCGCAGTGAGAACAAAAGCAAGTCTTGAAGAAGTCCTTGAGTTAGAATAACAATAGACACAAATGGAAACGCCTCGTGCGAAAGTGGCAACTGCAGAACTTTAATTCCCCTTTAATTAGGAGCCGTAATCCAATTAAAGAGGAATTGGGGGCAAAGTGTGGAGGGAAAAATCTCCCTCCAATGAGAACTGTACACGTCATCGCAATATAAATACCCATCACAAATGTCAGAGGCTTATCCTGCTCGAAGCCCAGTCCAAGCTCGTTGGTAGCCCAAAATCATAAGACACTAGCCCAAGGTCACAGCTAATTGATCTCTGTAGCATTGCTCAAGCCCGAAACAAGAGATCCAACCCGTTAGCAATATCGCATGGATCAGCTTACTTATGGCCTAAATCCATTGAAAGGAAATTAGTCCTATTAGAAGAACGATACAGCAAAGAAAGAAACTACTACACAAGGAAAATTATATAAAGGAAGGAACTCTATTTGTAAAGAATTTCTGTAGGGAAAGAATTGGAGGACAAACAATGCGAGTCCTACCATAATTCAACCAATCTTTTGTATATAAATAGAGGCCTAGACCTTCAATAAAGTGATCAAGCAATTCTACGCTTCTCTATATACTGTTCTTGTCTATTTTTATTATTTTTTGAGTGAGTTGTTTTATTTTTCTCAATCATTATTGGTTGGGCGAAATTTTGCACCTACAATGGTACAATTAGTAATAGCGTGGTTCCAAGTATTGTGATACTTACAAAATTCATTCCCTTTCGGGTCATTGGCCGATGGTATCTTATGCCCTTCAGGCAAATTGATTCATTTATCGGCCATAATATGGCCAAAGATTTCCTGTGTTTTTTTCTCGAATCAAATAAATATCTTTTCCCTATATTAGTAACTCCCTATCTTACCTTGTGGGTTCCGTATCCTACCTTCTTCATGGTCAGATCTGATTGTTTGGGCAGCCCACCATTGGAATGGCAAATGTGCGTACCATAGCAATTCAATCTCAAAAATGCGTATCGCATCTCTGGTATACAATGCTTGGAATGAATGCAATCATAGAATTTTCAAGAAGAAATCCATCTCCACGAACTTAGTCTAGCTTGCACTTGACAATGGATTCTGTAAGATCTAAACTACTCACTTCATCAATTTCTGATACAATGAATGCTCAAAGAATTGCAAATGAATGGGAGCTTCCTAATGTGATCTTTCGGCCACCAACAGAGCCACCTGATCATGCAAACTGATGATGAAGTTTGGAGGCAATGATCTCCACGGTTACCGGAATGCTTAATGTTGGCCTGTTAGGCTATTACTCATTGCTTCAATGCTCTATTTTGTTGGGTTCTTTTGGCCCTAGGTAGGTCTACTTGGGCCTCACATGTTTTGTTTTTTGTTGTTTAGCCTTTTGGCTAACATTGGCTATTGGGCCTCTATAATTTTGTGTTGAAAATTTAACTTTCATAAAAAATATATATCTATATCTATATATATATATATATATATATATATATATAAAATAAAAAATCAAAAAAATAAAACTCCTTTCTTGGCCGATCCAGTAGGTGGTTGATTGCCCATATGGAAGGTTTATGCTTGGTAAGTGCCTCATACATATCAGGCTTCTTTATGCACATCTCAGCTACATTATCTTCTAGATCATCTTTGAGATCGGCTATACATTCATCTTGTAGTTGATGCCGCTGATAATATCTGAGTAATTGATAACTGGGTAGGCATGGCCTGCTTAGTGGATCCAATCTCGGAGAATCAAATATGCATCCATATAGGTGCCAAAATTGTAGGGATGGCAATTTGTGTTCATGGATCATGTGTCGTGTTGATGTAAAGTTATTATACTAAACAGGTAAATCCAAACCCAACCCATTTAATAATCATGTTAAGAACCCTTAACACCAACTTGACCTATTTATTAAATGGGTTAACCCGTTTAATGATATTTTTATAATCAAAATGAGACATTTAATATTTAATCAAATAATAAATATTAAAAAAAATTGTCACAATTAATTCACGTATTCAAAATAAAAAGAAAAATCATAAGGAGTAGTCAATGTTTATGTTGAAATGACTAGGTTTATGTTGAAATGACTTAACTGTTCATAATAATTAGATTTAAACAGGTAACATAATAAATAGGTCATATTTATGATTATTATATGTTGAGTTAAACGGATCATAAACAGGTTACACGGGTTGAACCCCTCAACCTTAACCCGACACGATTAAGTAAACGGGTTAATCGTATCAACCAGTTTATAACCCAAACCTATTTATCTCATGTTCACAGGTGGTGTCCTAATTTGTCACCCATGCAAAATTGGCGGACAGATATGTAGTTGATACAGCTGATTTGGGCACTTATCTCATTCTTATGTCCATCAATTTTGGCACCCATTTGGATTATACCTCCTTCAGTTGTGCTAATGGAACATTAGATCGCATGGTTGATTCTCCAAGATTGTATCCACTAAGCAGGTTCGGTTGGTTCTTGTCTTCAATCTCCTCACCTGTTGAGGGAGCAACTTTGGAATTCTTTAGTCTTGGCGGTATGCTTGCAATTCGTTGACACATTTCTTCCGAGCCTGCCAAAAATTTTGACCACTAAATCAGCAAGTCCATTCAATTCAAAAAATGATCGTAATCCGCGTGCCAGAACCAAAATTGTGTAAAATTTGTCAAACTTAGTCTCTTTTGGAACAATGGGTAACCAAAATGTCTTCAAAATCCTAAGGTTCTACTTGCCTTGAATGATAAGGACTTTCTAGACAAAAGAATTGCAATATGGACGAAATTCTAGGAATTCTACATTTGCAAGGAAATCGAAATGAAAATATGATTGCAAAAGGAATCTAAAGAAACTGGATTTGCGATGGACTGTAATTAAAATACTACCAACAGAGAAAGTTAACAAACAATGGCAACCTAAAATGCAGTAAAAGAATTTTCAGGGTGTTGTGCCCTTTACAACGCCTCCTTCCACAATTATTTATGACCCTAAAATAACTAACTAACTAAAAGAATGCAAAAAGATAACGGTTAATTCCTAAACAAACTCTACTTGATAAGCCATATCACGTCCAAGACACCACGTGTTGTCTTCTCCTTTATTGTGAATTCTTGACAAAATCACCTAATATTCACTTCCAATTAAACCTTTCTTTTTACGTACATGTATAAATCTATCCTCCATTTAGGAGATTATGACAATAGTTGTTTACTTAAAGGCGAGTAAGCCATTCTTACTAATTTTTGATGTGGTTCAATAACAAATCCATACATAGTCTTTTATTGCAAAATCACGAAAGTGATAAGGAAATAAGAGGAGATAACTGAATTTAATCCCAAAAAAATTATTGTCCTTATTTATTACTTTCGTGAAGAAAATAAGAGTGATTGAATTTATTCTTAAAAACTTATTATATTTATTTATCACTTTTTATGATTGGATTGGTCTAGTGACCGAGTAAAAAACTGATTAGACAGTTGAGTTAAATTCATATTTGCCACGTTTCTATTATATATATATAACTTCCATATACAATATATCTATTGTTTAATGAATTTGACTTTCACTTCATAGGTCAATTGATTGAAATTTGAACATCCCTACAATAAAGAACAAAAGTCCTAAAAAAAAAAAAACCAGATGCAGAACAGAAAAATAACTACAAGAAAACGATGCAGATTAGAAGTAGAACAATTCAAAAATAAATTCTTATTTTGATCAAAAGGTAAATTTGTGAATCTTTCTCTAGTTTTGCGATCGAAGAAAAACAAATGATATACCAGGTAGAGAGAAAAACAAAATAATAAAGAAAACTTACCAAAGATAAAACGAATTCTTTCCTAATGCAAAGAAAGAAGTAAAACTATATATTTTAATTTCATTCAAAAGGGAAAGTTGAATGGTATAATATATTCTGTTTAATAATTGTATAAGGTATTCATACATGATAAAACAAAGTATAATTGAGTAAATTTCTTTTTTTATTTGCTAATATGGCGATCACAAAAATATATTGTGCATGTGACATTAATCACTACGTTACATGTTCACTGAACAGACATTTTACTCAGTACTCACCAATGAGTAAACACATATTATATATCACCTAAATATAGACTCGTTAATTATGTGCTGGCGCCACACTTCCTTTCTTTTACAAATATCTCTCCCATAGGTCTCTCTGAAAATAAACAAAATGGAATATATATATATATATATATATATATATATATCTTCCCTCCACGAGTCTTGATCAAGCCCACTACCTGTTTATATATCCCATTGTCACCACCACTTAAATGGCCGCGTGGTGTATGATGTGTGATTTGCATTGCAAATATTCACAATTTAATTTACAGTCATAAGTTCAAAGAATCAGTGGTTAGAAGTTTTTTCGTTTTTAAAGTAATAATAATAATAATAATAATAACCACCTTCATTGGCAATTAAAAAAAGTACTTTTGGATTCGAATAAACACTAATCTCAAGGACAATTAAACATGGAGAAGAAAAAATCTTCTGCTTATTCATAGAATACAAGTTGTACAACTCAACATTATTGGATTATTAATTATAATAAGGATTCTATGCCTTATTTCTTCATAAAATTCTTGAACCATTTGGCTGAGAGTTTTGGGTATCTTTTTAATTCATTTTTGTAATCCACATAGTAAATGCCAAAACGAACGGTGTAACCCGCGGTCCATTCGAAATTGTCCAATATTGACCATGCAAAGTATCCCTTAACATTGGCACCATCCCTATGTAAAAAAAAAAAAAATACATAAAAAAATAAATAAAATAAATAAATAATAAATAAATAAATTAGTGTCACAAGTAGATTTTTTTATAAAATATCAATCTCATTTGAAATTCTTGGTTCAATAATTTTTTGTTTGCAAACTTACTTGATTGCTTGGTGAACGAAAGCAAGATGGCGATTGTAATACTTTATTCTAAAGTTGTCGATGAGGGCTTCCTTAAGTGTTAATGTTGCATTATTTACCTCATCAATCCCTACAAAATAACAAGAAATTTTTAGAGTCCAATTAATTTCTAGATTTTATCTTGAAATCTTTATAATTGTAAATGAAAATTTTGAATGGACTGAAAATGGTGAAAGAACTAAATAGTTGTTACCATTCTCTGTGATGTAAAGAGGTGGATTATTATATTTTCTCTTTATGTAGAGTAGAAGATGCCAAATCCCTTTCGGATAAACATGGAGCCAACTTGAACCGGCCTGTACCAACATAATTAACAATGTGAAGCTAACATAAACATCACTTTTTTCATATAATTTGTAAGAATATTCTTAAACTCAAGAAGTACCATAAGAAGGGTTAGTAAACATATAATCAGTAATGCTATTAATGTCAAAGAGTTTGATCGAAATGGGGTTTCAGCTTCCCATTCAATTGATACACTCAAATAGGTTTTACAACACTGGCTCTGTTTGGATACGGAGGAGATAAAAGAAAAGAAATGATTAGTTCCGTTTGGATACACAGAAAAGAAAAGAAAGGAAATAATTAGCTCTGTTTGGATAGTAATAATTTCTATTCATGTTTGAATAGATAGGAGGGAAAAGAAAATAAAGGATAACCATTTTAACCCATCCAAAAATTCCAAACACAATCTACCTTATCCCTCCATATATATCCTTTCCCTTACTATCCTTCCAAATTCCTAAATCTAACAAAATTAAGTTGAGTGTATCTAATGAATATGAAGTTTGTCCCTCTCCATTTCTTACAAGCTCTTCAGCTTTAAAATCATTATCGGTTTGTAAATGTTACCTGTTCACCAATAAGGACTCCATTCTTGGAAGCTAGAAAAAGGAAAATCAATGTCTATTTAGCATGAAGTAACAACATTGGTTTGAAAACAGTAGCAAAAGAGATGGGATTGAAGAACTTACATGTAAGATTGGCTCGAGAATCTGTTGAGTAACTTACATTTACGGTGTTGGAGTTGGGTTCATGAGCTGCATATTGTGCAGTATAATAGTTCAAGCCAATGAAATCATATGATCCCTTTACCATCATGGATTGTTCTTTCGTGAACTTTGGAAGTCGGTTTCTGACAAGAGCTCGCATTGTAAGTGGATAATCACCATATATTAATGGGTCCATAAACCTGGAATAGAGATGCAATTTGTGAAATAAACATAATTAAATGACTATAATTTTACTTAGAATTCTGAAAGATGAATAAAAGACTTTATATATTAGATCATTTTATAATTCTGACAATGTTAAATTGCAAATAAATCAAGCTGTATATAAAATGTGCAAGAATTACCCAATTCCTGTTTTTTATTTTTATTTTGTCTTAAGAACAATTTAAGATATTTCAGTTTTCAAATAGAAAATTGTCCTTATTTGCTCATTTGAAAAGTGTAAAGAATTTTCGAAATAGCAAGATATTTGCACATCATTTATACAACTGAGTTTTTTTCTTTTTTCCTTTTTTTTTTTTTTTTTTTTTTTTTTCTAACAAAACATGGACTATTAGATATACAGATTCAAGTCCAGTTCACTGTAGCTATAATTATGACATGCAGACTTCAACTTTTAAGTTTTGAAAGACAAATATATCACTGTGATGAAGCCCTTCTTTCTCTTCTTTCAAAAAAAATATATATATATAGATATATGTATATATGTATATATACATATATTTAATTTTAAAACTGCATGTTTGGAATGGTCAAACCCTTTAATTTATGAGATAATTACTCTTCTAAATAATAGGAATCTCGTGTCTGGTTTTAAATATAACACTCACATCACTCGCTAGTATTGATTTTGATCCCAAAGTATTAATTATCCATTGTACTTTATTAATTTTAATGTAAAATATATATTTCTTTATGGGTAAAAGTGTCTTTTCAAGCATTATTGAGTTTTAAATAAATATTAAACATAATATCAGTAGATAAGAATGTCGAATTTTATGATATGGAAGGTTGTTGTTACTGGGACATGAAACTAAAAAGGATGTCCATGTTATTTAGACAATCTCAAGAAGAAATAAGTTTAATTATTTCTTAATTAATTTATAGAATTTCTACGGGCATATTGGTTTAGTTTCCTTAAATAATTCTCAATAAATAAAAAATATATATAAAAAATTATTATTGGAGAACTATAAAATCATTTTTCTGAAAATAGTTTTTGTCTAATTATCTAATTATCTAACCAAACAGACCTTATATTATTGGAGCCAAATAATACTTCTTATTTCTTGGAATCATGCCCACCAACTTGAAGTTGTTGTCAATACTTTATAATCCATTAATACCATTAAGCTTTACTACAAGTTGGTGGGCATGATTCCAATGGATTGAGTTAAAAGAAAGCTTAATGGTATTAATGGATTATACGGATCCAGTTAAAAGAAAGCTTAATGGTATTAATGGATTATAAAGTATTGACAACAACTACAAGTTGGTGGGCATGATTCCAAGAAATAAGAAGTGTTATTTGGCTCCAATAATATAAGGTCTGTTTGGTTAGATAATTAGATAATTAGACAAAAACTTTATATATATATATGACATCTGCACTGAACCTCTCAAATGTTTGGATAAGAGTTTAATGAAATTTCAATACACAAATAATGAAAGGAATGTGCAATTAATTCTTACCATCCAAACATGAAATCTAGTCCCCTTACTGCAGCACGGCCATCCAGACTCGAATTAGAATAGGCCACCAACCATGTTGAAACCAGAGTTATCCCTATCTTTCCTTTTTGTGATGCCTGCTTGCATTTCATATATATATATATATATATATATATATATATATATGTTAACCATTTTTATTATTATATTATTTTTTAAATCTAGATAAAATATTTAGACTGAATAAAATGTTGTAAAATTTTAAAATTAATGTCACCTGATACTTTTCTTTGTACAATTTTACAACGGCTGCATGACCAAGAAGCTGGTAATGAGTCACGAGATATGGCTCTCTGGCTGAATCTCCTCCGCTGCAATTGTTTTGCAGCCAAGCAGAGCATCGACCAGGTGCATACGCACCGTTATCATATCCCTGGCTAAAGGACCATGGCTCATTCAACGTGGTCCAGAATTTCACCCGATCACCAAATCTCTTGAAGCAAAGCTCCGAGTAATCACGAAAATCATACCTATCCAGTTGTGTTATATTAATTGGAATTGCATTTCAAATTGAAGGAAATTTAGTTTAAACTTTGTACGAAATTTCTTTCCATTTCAAATTGAAAACGCTGATTAAGTGGTAAAATTATTTTCACAAAAAATAATAAAATAAAAATTGAGTAGCTTACACGATTTGAGGACTCCGGAAACCGCCATACTCATCCTCCAAAGCTTGGGGCATATCCCAATGGAAGAGAGTCACATAGGGCAGTAGACCTACATATACGCACTTTATATAACACAACTGTATGTATCTATATATATATATATATAAGAAGGCTAATAAATTACTATGGGAAAACATGAGAGAGCTCATTACCCTTGGCTAGGAGATCGTTAATGAGGTTGTTGTAGTATTGAATTCCTTCCTCGTTCACGCCTCCACTTAGCTTCCCAACTGTAATTTACAAATTTTTACATAATAAAAATAGGAATAAACTGAAAAAGAAAATTTAATTGAAAATATAAAACCTCCAAGTAAAATGATTTATTATTATTATTATTATTATTTTGTCTGTACTATCACAATTTTGTTATCTAAGAAAAAATTTCTATACTAAAAAAAAATCTTTGATCTATCAAACATTACATTTACAAATATCACTCATTCTTTAATGATTTAATCAACCGTTAATGGCACTATAAAATTGGCTAAGTTCTCTCATAAAATGGAAAGAAAAAAATAAAGAAAGAAAACCCATGCATCAAATTTCAACGAACTCCCCTGAGGGCCTGAATTATCACCGTTTTTGCAAAAAAATCCAGTGAAATATTAATTTGGCAAAATAAAATAAAATAATTGTATATGTATGTTTTTTTTTTTTTTTTTTTTTTTTCTTGGTTTTTGGAAAACCATGATAGCTCAGGGCAGTTTTTGCATTATACCCTATTGAATAATCCCATCTATGTTAGAATTGAATTTGTGTTCAAACCAATTAAGTTCTATAATAGGATCCATCTTCCCATGCATAAATAGATAAATAATTAATGTTGTCAATTACGGAGTAATTCAAATAATCATCTTACGTGGCAACACTCTGGACCATGAGATTGAGAATCGATAAGAATCAAGATCCATTCCTTTGATGATGTTCACATCTTCCTACGACATGGTTAAAATGATTTATAATAACAACAAAATTTCAAATCCAGTGTGAAGCCAAATAGCCAACATAAAATTTGAACATACAGAACTATATATATATATATACACACCTTATAGCGATGATAAGAATCAATGGCCACGTCTCCATTACTACGATCCGCTATCTTCTCTGAAATTTTGCAATAAGAAGTTTCGGTAACCAGATATAAAGGATTTTAATCCAACCAATAAGGTATAACATTTTAAATACGAATATTATCAAGTTAGAATATTCTTTAAATGAGTAATGATGTACCATCACATGCGGACCAATAATAATCGGACACATTCTTTTTAATTGTCAAATAAAAAATAATGGGTATATATTTAATTACTAAATTAGAAATGATGGGTTTGACTCTTTTTTTTTCATTTTATAATTAAAGATGATGTGTTTATATGGATTTTTTAAAAAAATTTATTTGTCCTAAATTTAATAAATAGTTAGAAAAAAAAAATACTTATTTTATTTTGACTTTTTAAATGAGAGAATTAATTTGCAACATTTCAAAATGAAAAGAGGGTGGTCTACTAATGGTGGACCGAGAGTAAAACATTATCCTTTTTTCGATAAATATATTGTATAATCTTTATTGGTTTTGTAACATTTTACTTAATAAAAAAGAAAAGAAAAAGAAGACATTTAACTTTTAGTAGTTGGCAACTTGGCAATTACTATTACAAATCTATACAGTTTAGTTGGGCCGTCGCAAACAGAAACTTTTATAGGAAAAGTAATGTAATGACAAAAGTTCGAAAGCTATTCTTTGTTAAAATAATCAACTGCCTGATTTGACTGAGTCTGCGACATTTTCAATTTTTAACTCTATCAACCTTTTCTTGAACTACTTTCTCTTTCAATACATTGAAAATAGGATATTTTTAATATATAAGAGCATTCCAGTATACGAGATAAGAGAACACTGAGTCACAATTTAGAGGGTAAAAGAGAAGGTTTTGGTTATTGAAATTTGTAATTTCTCAAGTTTTTGCATAATAAAATATTAAGAAAAAAAATTTCATTATAAATATTGAAACACATAAATCTTTATATTATTTGTGTTACATATGTTTACTTTCTCATATTTAATTGATTTGTCGTGTTTATAAGAACAATTAATTAATATAGCATTGGTAGAGGATATAAATAATTAAGTTACTTACACTAAGACTAAGAAAAAAATTGTTGCGTGCTCTCTTTATAGTGGTAAGCTTAAACTTTAGAGATGATTAGTAATTTAACATATCTGCTCTCTCTAGAAGTTAAAATTTTAATGTAGATAGTAATTGACCACAAGGCCAGAGGGATGGATATAACCGGAGTATTTCAAAGTTTGCAACCCAGTTATCCAAAGTCGACATTCAACTATTGATATTTTAATTTTAAATTTATAATAAAATTAATTTAAAATTTTAACTATTTTTTTTTTTTAATTCTAGATTCATATAGTAGATTTATGTGCCCAAACATAAATATATTCACAAAGACACATAACTATCAACTTTCCATATCAAAAGAAGAAACATACCATCCCTCTTGAACTAGAGATTCAGTGACATGGACTTTTGTGCAAAATTTGTAAAATCAACGAACAGTAGGTATATATACTTGCATCACGAAGGCATGTATAATATTTACTTATTTCTAAATTTTAATTGATTAATGTTTTTTTTTTTTTTTTTCACGTTGAGTGTAATGATATCTAAATCTAAACCAATCGAAAGTGTGACCAATGAAAATATTGGGCCCCAAAGGGGGTGGTTGTGGTGATCTTGTGGAAGGATATGTGTGAGCGTATGCAGGTGGCATCAGTAGGTTATCATACTGAGCAAGGTACATGTATACAATCCAATATGGCTGGGTGTAGATGGGGCTAGTAGAATATGAGATTCAACGCCCTTCTATAATACAACGTATTTTAAAGTCGTGATAACTCTGAATCCACCAGAACTCCGTAGTTAAAGGTGCTTTATTTTGGTGCGGGAGAACTAAAAGCGGATAATATTGTGTTTGACTAGAGTAAGACATGTTATTTTTTTTCTGAAAAAAAAAACAGAAAAGAAAAATAATAATGAAATTAGATGTAACCTAGATCATACTTCAACTCAGTTGTTAATAATTATAAGTTTGTGAAATTGAATGTAACCAAAATCATACTTCAAGACCCATTGTTAATTATATTAAATCCCAAACCAGAGATTTTATCGTACAAGCAATGTGAGCTGAAAGCCATTTTTTAAATAATAATAATAATTAGTAGGACAAATGGTATAAAACTCTCTTCCACTTCCAATTTTTTTCTTTTTTCAGTTGAATAGGTAAGCTTACTTTTGGCACAACAGCCTCTTACAAAAAAATAAAAATAAAAGAGACCCAAAACCCATGGACCATCCAATTGCTGCAGGACCCTTTTGTGTCAAGTTTGGGGTTAATGGCCACTCAAAAAGACCAAACTACCCTTGCAGTCAAGGGTGTGTTGTAATTAAAATAAATAAAGTTCGGGGTATTTTCTGCAATGTCTTCTAAAAAGTGTATAAAATGGGAATTTGCAATGGACTTTAATACCCATGAACGAATATTTATTTTCCAAGGAAAAGATTAAAATTAATACAAGTAACTCATTCCGTGTAATGTTGCTAAAAAAGATATTTTTTAAAAAAAGTATTTAAATGGATTATATGTATATATATAAATTGCTATATATAGTATATAAGAAAAATAAAATAACTTGGAACAGTTTTCAATAATTTTAAAAAATTTATATTCTTTAAAAATTAAAAGGAAAAGATCAAAAATGAAAATCATTTTAAAGAAAACCAAAATTCTAATAAATTTTTATCAATGGGCATTTTCTACATTATAAAATCACTTTAATGGTGCATAATTTTAAAAAGTTTCTTAAATTTTTATTTTTGAAATTTTAAAAGGAAAAACACCGTAAAATGAAAATTATTTAATGAAAACTTAAATTTATATTAATATGCATTTTCATCATTATAACATCATTTTTTTATAAAAAAATTTACATTTATATTTTTTAAAATTTTAAAAGGAAAAGAAAACCTAAAAGGAAAATCATTTCAAAGAAAACTTATATTTTTAAAAAATTTTAAGTTAATTTTTTTTTTTTTTAGGCAGTATTGTGCCAAAAAATTGAGGTTTTAGTAATTTGTACAAATTTTTATTAAGGGACATTTTCATCGTTATAACATCACTTTAAGGGGTAAGTGAAACTCGTGCTTTTAGCGGTTAAATTCTAGCGGCTAAATGAGTCGTGAGGTGGGTTGTTGCAACAATTGGATAGTGTAGTGAGGTTTCAAGTCAAATTTTTTTTTTGTAGGGATCCGTAGTATTCTCTAATAATTATTTTAAAAAGACTTTTCAAACGACTAGTATGTCAATGAAAGTACCGAAGTCGAATATCTAAACGGTTCTTTTTATAATTTGCAACTCAATGATTTATATGTATTTTTTAATAATTTAAATTTTTAGAATAGGATAACGGGGATCAATATCACCCGAAGTATTTGACACTTCGCAACTCTGAAATTAACTAACTGAAAACCTAGATCAAGATATGTTTTAATCCTTAGAGAGAGAGAGAGAAACAGACGAGGGTATTTGTGTGTGAAAGTATCCCATATACTCGGCCCTCTACCACCTTCACTTGCTCCACCTTCAATCTGGAAATAATTATGAATATTAATAAGGATTCAACACACATATGTCACAAACACACAAAACAATTGTAGTTTGTGAGTAATTAAAAACATGTGGAGTTTACCTTGCAGCCTCGTATACCAAAGGTCATCGGATTAGAAAGGTTTCTTCTTACTACGGAAAAAAACAAACACACACACACACAAGAAACACACGAGACAATGCTAATATATACCTGGTAAGCTGCCGATGCTGCTCCAAAGATAAAGCCAGCCGGAAAACTGCTACGGTTGAGGGAATCTATACCAAAACTCGGTGACAAAGGTTGGCTTTTGCGATCGATCACATTCGCAGCCCTGCCATAAGTCCCTGGCAATGCTACACTACTAGTCACTACATTAACAAAGACCAGTACGGCTAAGAGGACATGGCTATGAATCCCCATTACTCTTTTCTTATGATTACTAGTTCTAGTGCAAGTAAAGAGTGGCATTGGCTATGGTTTTTATAGAGCAATCTAGGGGTAAGGATGGAATTATACTCAACTTTTGTTTTCCCACTCATTACTGGAGTTCATGCACATGCAACACGTGAACGAAAATTCACGTAACCAAAGGGTCTTTAGCCTAATGGTATAACTTTCTCATCTTCAAAGAAAAAGGGAGGGATTCGAGCTCGGACGTGAACAAAAAAGTGTATGTGTGTTTGCTTTACCATCCAAAAAAAAATAAAAAAAAATAAAAAAAAACAATCAAACCAAAAAAAACAAAACGAAAATGCACATACCACAACTCTGAGAAATAGCAAGGAAAAAAACAAAAAAAAGGGAATATTTAAGTAATTTAAGTGCATCAAAATGCATAAAATGAAATAACATTAATGCGTAGATCAAAGTACGTCATTTAATTAATTGAAGGTTGGCTAGCTACTATATCAAAATAAATTGCTAAGATTGCAAGTTTGCTACTGGCTACCATGGTCAATCTTCAATATAAACCAGAGAAGAAAACTAAAACTGAATATTAATTCATTTTATTTTATCATTATTTAGTTTAATATTTTGATTCATAGGACGAAGTTTTTATATATGGTAGGATCAATCATTGGATGGTTCCTTCACCAAGACCCCATTATATTTAACTAGAACTCGTGCACACGCATCCATGCATACCACTTATATATACAAATGATGTTAGGTGATGAATAGATAATAGGTTAATTATAGTGATCAAAGAAATTAATCAGAGTATTAGTGGATAAGAAAAATATTTTAGCTGCTTAATTTAAAATTTATTCAATCTTCACCCTTCGGAGCCATGATTAACGTGACAAAAGCAAAAGATAATGACCAATTTAATTATTTTTGCACAATTAAATCCAATTGGAACAACACTTTGGCTTAAATTCTTAGATTGAGAGAATCCAGAAAACATCATTTTACCTATTTCAATATAAAAAATGTTTAGGCTTCTATTTTCTAATTTATTTTCAATTACCGAAAAAAAAATATATATATATATATATATATAATATGTTTAGGATTTTCAGGAACTGCACTCTTTGTATCCAGTAGGGATAAGGGTACCAAAGGAAGGGTTTAATGCGGAAGCCTAGTCTTCCGGTGAAGGTTTAACTGCTCATTTTTCTAAAATATCACCGCAACGTAGAGGGTAGCCAACGTTGTGTGAATTTTACCAAGGACGATGCGTTAGAGGCTAGCCAACGTTGCGCACCCGATTTTGAGATGTGTATTATACGCAAAAATAGCCGTCTTTCTTGTTGATGGATATAGCAAAGTATTGACTCTCAGTAAAGGATGTTAATCACATTTATGTATTATGTTGGTTAATAAAGCAAGTAGTTAATTGACAAACAAGTTATGTATCCTTACTGATTAGCTTTTGTGAATCCTGAATGCAACGAGTACTGTACGTATATGAGTGGTTTTTTATTTATTTTTTATCAAGTACTGTATGTGAGTTTGTCATTGAGTGATAAAAAAATAAAAATAAAAAATAAAAAACCAAAAATTGACAAACAAGTTATGTATCCTTACTGATTAGCTTTTGTGAATCCTGAATGCAACGAGTACTGTACGTATATGAGTGGTTTTTTATTTATTTTTTATCAAGTACTGTATGTGAGTTTGTCATTGAGTGATAAAAAATAAAAATAAAAAAAAAAGCCAAAAATTGACAAACAAGTTATGTATCCTTACTGATTAGCTTTTGTGAATCCTGAATGCAACGAGTACTGTACGTATATGAGTGGTTTTTTATTTATTTTTTATCAAGTACTGTATGTGAGTTTGTCATTGAGTGATAAAAAAAAAAAAAAAAAAAAAAACCAAAAATTGACAAACAAGTTATGTATCCTTACTGATTAGCTTTTGTGAATCCTGAATGCAACGAGTACTGTACGTATATGAGTGGTTTTTTATTTATTTTTTATCAAGTACTGTATGTGAGTTTGTCATTGAGTGATATATATTAATTATTGATACACCTTACAAATTGGAACCACGTACATATCATCAATGATGTTAGGGAGTGTTTCAGCCTTGTACTTAAATTATGTGTTCGTGGCGATCAGTCTGCTATCAGCTGCACCAAAAGTTTACAAAGTGTGAACCTTGACTACCTTACCAACAATCCCCCCCTCTAAGGAACCACCCTTGGTAACTCGGACATGAGACTTTGGCTCTAAGCCCACTTTGTTGGTCCAAACTTTCACCAATTGGTGTTAGGGAGGAATTCAGTCTTGTACTTGCACCTTGTTTTCGTAGCAGTCAGTCCACTGTCAACTACACCAGTTGCAAAACTTACTGAGGTAGACCATGGCTACCTTGCCAAAAATGTGAGTTATGCAGCGAGCTGAATAGTGGAATAGGTTGTGGAATGTTAGAGTTTTAAAAATTGTTTTAGTGAGGGATTAATCACGTGTTTTTTTATCCAATTTATTTAACTAAAATTACGGGTTATTTAAACAATCACACACAACTTAAAAGTAAGTAAAGTTTAGAGTGACACCGAATTTTTAATTAAGAAACCAATTGGAAAATCTTGAGATTTTGTGCTTTATCCAAGCGTAAAAAGATCCACTATGTATGAAGCAAAGTACATTGAACTATATACGACTAAGATTCAAACTCCTTCGCTCTACCAAGACTCAATTTGCTAAACGCTACTGGCTTTGCAACTTCCCGTCCAACAGCTCTCGACTTCAGACTTATGCCTCGAACCGTGTAGAAGGATTGTTAGTAGATCAACAATGTTCCGCAAACGCATTGATCCCTTCGAAAGTGTGATATGGAATTCTTCTTCTTCGAATCTGAATTTGATGTAGAAGAAATAAAATATGATTTCTCTGATCATTGTAAATGCAATCTTCAATTGACTTGAACTCGATTGGGAATTGAACAACTTACACCCTAAATCACTCGTGTGTATATTATGTGTATGTTCTTAAAAATCTCACAAAAAGGCTTTAAATGAAAATTAGAATTTTAATGCAAAAAGCCATACAACCCCAAGTAAGAAAACATGTTTTTATAGACTTTTGATTATACTTGAAAAATAAGACAATCTCGGGCAAAAGGTTTTAGGAAAAAGTCTATGTACAATAGGAAGTTGAAACGGAGTAGGAAACAAAGTTACCAAAAATTGCTTCTTGGTCTATGATGACAGTAGTGCTGAAATCCTAAAGTGGGCAGCCAATGAAGCACTCATAGGCTATGATGCTTGCATACCGAAGCGTTCCAACACATTCTCAATGTATTACTTCTATGACAAATACAATCTGCCCACTCATCTATCCTTGTGATCGAATTTCCATACCCAATATCCTATTTGCAACACCAAGATCCTTCATCTCAAATTCACCACTAATCTAAGCCTTCAATTTGTTAATTTCAAACATATTATTGCAAGTTATCAATATGCCATCAACAACAAATATGAATCATCTAAGAGCTTTATGTAATACACAAAAACGTCAAACTTACTCTTATATATAATAGTCAATCCAAACCATAAAAGTGTCAAATCGCGTGTATCACTATCTAGGAGACTATTTCAGCCTATAAATGACTTCTCCAGTAGACAAATTAACATGATCGATCTTTCTTTCCCATAATCTCAAACCCCTTAAGCTGATGCATATAAATCTGTTCTTCCAACTCACCATGCAAGAAAGTAGTATTGACATCAAGCTACTCAAGCTCCAAGTCATATAGAACAACCATAGCAAGTAATACCCAGATTGAGCTATATTTCACCACATTAGAAAACACTTCATTGAAGTTCACCCATTTTTACTATGTATAGCCCTTTGTCACCAAGTGTGCCTTGTATCTCGCATCTTCCACCTCTGGAGTTCTTTCCTTCTTCTTGAAGACCCATTTACGGCACACAATCTTCTAACCCTTAAGCTTCTTAAGTAGCTCCCAAGTCTGGTTCTTATGAAGATACTCAATCTCCTCATTCATGGAAAAATACCACTGTGCTGACTCTCCACCTGTGACGGCCTCATGATAAGTACACAGTACTTTCCCATCAGTATCCTATGCCGCATTAAGTGCATAAGAAACCAAATCAGCATATGAAAACCCATACTTCTGAGGTGACCTAATCTCCCTCCTAGGTTTGTCTCTAGCCACACTATATTGCTACAACTGCATGTACATCACTTTCAGCCCAAAATGGCACCTGCTTATTAGTTGTCCGATCAAGACTTTCCTTTAACTGAACCTCTACATGCTCTACTTGTTCACTGACACCATGAGCTCTCCCTAAATCAACTACTTCCTTCTATGGAATAAGCATCGTCGACTCATGAAATGTCACACCCAATGGTTCGGCAAAATCTATGTTCGAACACAAGCAACAATCACAAAACACGACAGAAAAGTAAACATACCGCATAGAGAACAAAAAAATTTATACATGGATCAGAAAAGCCTATGTCAACGGTGGAGATCTAGCGAAAGTCTTTACTAAGTGTAAAATAGAAAATTACAAGTTTCAACTCCTCACACTCTTTTCTATACGATTTTCAACATCTCTCTGTAATGCACTCCAAACCTTAAGCGCCCGTATATATTGGGGTATAAGAGAGTACTAATTAGGGTCCACGACCTACAAGCAAAAATGGGTCAAAATTTTTTCTCGAGGCCAAGTCCCCGAACTCCCAAAGCTTTGATAGGCTTGGATCCATACAAATAATTTTCCTTGGGGCCAAGTGCCCGAACTCCCAGCGCGACCTAATACCAAATTCGGACCACTACATTACATATATATATATATATATATATATATATATATATATATATATTTGCATTCAACCAATTAATTTTGTGGGTTCATTTGTTTTTCTTTTCCAAATTCTTATTTTTCTCTTATTCATACAAATTATTAATAAAGAAATAAACCTGGTGTTGCTCAAATG